AAATTTACAATGAAGCATTGATTTCAATTGAGGACATGTGCTTGATAATGTCAAACAAACTATTAATTCAATTAGGCCTGACCGCGCCCAATCGTCCAATGCATGACGCTTTTAACCAAGAGTTGCATCGATAAAAACTGTATGATCTCAACGCTTTGAAAGAATTAATTCAAACAAATCTTCCACTGTTAAATGAACAACAGAAGTATGTATTTGAAACTCTTATGAAAGTAACAAATGATGAAACTGGAGGGATTTACTTCTTAGATGCACCTGGTGGTACAGGAAAAACTTTTTTGATTTCATTAATATTAGCAACAATTCGCTCACAAAATAAAATTGCACTTGCACTCGCTTCGTCGGGAATCGCAGCAACTTTGCTTGAAGGTGGTCGAACAGCCCATTCAGCACTAAAATTGCCATTAAATATGCAAAGCAATGAAACTCCAACCTGCAACGTTTCGAAGAACTCTGCAATGGCAAAGGTTTTGCAGCAATGTAAATTGATTGTTTGGGATGAATGCACGATGGCACATAAAAAATCTTTGGAGGCTTTAGACAGAACCTTAAAAGATCTACGGAGCAATAATAACCGATTTGGTGGTGCAATGATTTTATTAGCAGGAGATTTTCGTCAAACATTGCCAGTGATTCCACGATCAACGCCAGCTGATGAACTCAATGCATGTCTAAAGTCCTCCAATTTGTGGAAACATGTCAAAGTACTTCATTTAAGCAAGAATATGCGTGTCGAGTTGCAAAATGACCCATCTGGAAACATATTCTCTAAACAACTCATTGACATTGGTAATGGCAAATTTCCTATAGACATGTTGACTGGCTGCATTAACTTTCCTCAAAGTTTTTGTCAGTTAACTCGATCAAAAGATGAACTTATTCAGAAGGTGTTTCCAGATGTTTCTCAAAATTACAGAAACCATGATTGGTTGAGCGAACGAGCTATACTGGCTGCAAAAAACATAGATGTAAATGAATTAAATTTCAAAATTCAAGAACAAATTACAGGCGAATTGAGGATATATAAATCAGTTGATTCGGCTACTAATCAAGATGATGTAGTCAACTATCCACCGGAATTTTTAAACTCGCTGGATTTGCCAGGATTGCCACCTCACAATCTTCAATTAAAGGTTGGATCGGTGGTTATAATGTTGCGAAATATCAACCAACCGCGTCTTTGCAACGGTACACGGTTAGCGATAAAAAAATTACTAAACAATGTGATAGAAGCAACTATACTCAAAGGAAAGTATAAAGGAGAAGATGTTCTCATACCGCGCATCCCAATGATTCCGACTGATGTGCCATTTGAGTTTAAACGACTACAGTTTCCAGTGCGGCTTGCTTTTGCTATGACTATAAACAAGTCCCAGGGGCAATCATTAAGTGTTTGTGGTATTAATCTAGAAAACCCATGTTTCTCACATGGTCAATTGTATGTTGCCTGTTCCCGTGTTGGAAAACCATCAGATTTGTTTATCTATGCGCCAGGTAATCAAACAAAAAACATCGTATACCACAAAGCACTACAATGATAATAATAATAATTATGATTCACATGATTAACAATAAAGCGATTACTTACTTTTAAATCCTTATATATGTTTTATTTAATTATTTTTTATTCACAACGCCCTATCACCAGGGCGACGGTTCTGTTCAGGAGAATTTTTTTAAATACATAGGCAAAAAAACTGCCACATTACAAATCTTTTTGACAGGACGAAGTCTGTCGGGTCAGCTATAAATGATACAAATATTGATTTTTAACTCTTTAGTGTTAGACAATTTTTTTTATTATTATTAAATTAAATTATTTTTTTAGTTTAAAATTAATAATTTTAATACATTTATCTGTTCTGTTATTTGACCATTTTATAACAATAAAGATTAAATATATTATTAATTAATTTACTATAAAAATATTAGCAATATAAAACAAAAAGAAGTACACTCTAAAATATTTTATGTATATTTCTTTTTTACTATCAACTTTTTAAATTTAATTTATATAATGAAAATCTTAAACTTGTGTATGTATTAATGCTATAAAAATACAGGAATTTTTATAACTAATTTATTAGAAGGATACAAATATTTCCTTACATGAATATTTAATTATTTTAAGGATAAATAATTAATTTTATAATAATATATAATTATATTTTTTTACTGTGGCAAATTATCAAAACCTAAATTCACATAATCATTTATCAGGACGTTTTGAAAAAATAAGTCCAAATAGTCACACAACGAGTTATATATATTACTGGATTCTGTCAAGGTATTGGTTTTAATCAATTGTTCAAATGTTGTAATTAAGGATATGTCGGATTCACATTTAATAATTGTGCAATAATTCATGTTATACTGAATTACTTCTTTCAGTTTCTTCTGTAAATCTGAAGATTGAATATCAGCTACTTCTTTAAGAAACGATTGAGCTTCATAAAATCCATTATTAATAAATAATAATGGGGAAAAATACTTTTTTCTAACATTATTCAAAAAATCAATAAAAATTTCTACCACTTTCTCTAGTAATAATTCTTGACGTCGACTTTTATTATCTTTTCTGTAATGTCTCAAAGTAGTCAGAGCAACTAACATTTTTTTAAACATATCATCGGATGTCATAAGTGTTTCATAAAGCTTAACTGCACAATTCATTTTATTTTCATATTTACAAACATTAACTATATGTCCCAACATTATAGAAAAATTGCGAACTATTTCAATATAGCGACATCTTAAAATAAGTGAAAGACATGACCGCACGAAATAATAATTGTCCTTATCAACGGTACATATAATATCTTTGAAATATAGTGATTTTTCGTTTGTATATTCAGTTTTAACAAATATATGTTCTAATGACATCCAACCAGGATGAGAAATAAAATGATTACACAATACAATACCATCAAAAACGCCGTATATTTTAGTTTTAGAATGAATATACCTTGAACAAAAAAAAACATAAATGGATGCTCAAAATTAATATTTTAATAATTTTACTGTTTAAATAACAAAATAAAATTCTTAAATTTAAGTATGTAAACATACTAAACCATAAATCTTACTTGAATGAATATGTTCCTTGTAGTTGTTCAAAGCCTAGTTTTAAATAACAATTTTCAATTATTTCGGAAAAATATAATTTAAGATCTTTATTAATAATATTAATATAATCGTCGGAGTCCTCTATCAATTTTTCCATTTGATCGATGTTATATTTCATCAATAAATCGGCTAAAATAGAACTTTTGTGTTCTGTTCCACACACTTTTCTTTTATTGTATAGATTTGATATCATTAATTCCGCTTTTTTATTAAAATATTTTATGCTTTCAAAACTATTAACAATAGAACTATTTAAAGAATATTTTAAATCCTTTGCATATATGTAAAAATAATTTATTTCATTATCTACAGTTTTAATATTAAAAATAGGTAAGTCTATAATTCGTAGGTCGATTTTGTCGAGGTATTTAGCCGCTGTCTGCAGTTTTTTAAACATATCTGTTGAATATTTAACAATATAAACTATTTGCCTAGTGCAATATCCCAATTGATCATATTGTTTATTTATTAAATATTTAACTTCACACTTATTTAAAACAAGACCTAACATTACATTGAAAGTTTGCATTACATTGGTATATTCACAATTTAATAGTAAAGTTATATAGTAGAGTTTTTGTATAAAGTTACTTTCATCGATAATTTCACTTGTTACGGTTTCGGTATTAATTATTAAGTGCTCAAGTTTAATTTCTGATTGATAAATTGAAGCCCATCCATTTTGAACACGAATGTGGTTTAATGAGTCAATCATGTATTTTTTAAAATCTTCACTTTGAGTATCACAATATACATCTAGAACTTGACTTAATTGCCAAAATATGAAAAACTCATATAATATAATTTTTTTAAGCATGTTTTTTAATTTTTTGAAATGAAATTTGTTATATCATATTATTTTTAAGAGTAAAATAATTTAAAACTATTTTTTAATATTGCTTATACTTTATTGAAATAGAACATTACAACATCGATTATAAATTTAAATATCGATATTAACCATTTATAACAATTTTAACTGTAATTCGAAATTTTTTAATATATAAAGGCCGTGTAAAATTGGTTTATAACAAAAATATATTATTAGACGTTTTAATGACGTAATATATGAAAAAAATTTTTTTTGTACTTTTTAGTATTATATACAGAGTGTTCTTTTTATCCTTAATACTCAATTACTCGCTGAATAAAATTTATTTTGATATAATAAATAAATATAAATTTTTCTACAGATATGCTGTTCAATAAGCAATTGTTATAACAAATTTATTTACAAAGACATGGTGACATGCTCAAAATAAAAAATTATAACAAAAATAATAACTATATTGATTCATAATATATTCCACATATAATAATATAAAAAACAATTACAAAATTTTGTTTGAAAACAACAAAACATTATCATTAAATTATTTAATTTTGAGCGGCCCTTTACTGATTTATTATTATTTAGGTAATATTTATTTAGGCGTATCGTGAGCAAGAGCAAGAATAGAGCTATATTGATACCTCGCGGGATACTGGATTCAATATTGTAGTTAAGAGAGTATTTCTCTAAAAGAAGATAAGCGATTAGTGAGATAAGACTTGATGATTAGATAGTATAGAGTCGGTAGAAATTGTTTAGTTTAAATAAGAGGCCTTCAAACCAGACATTGTTATAGGCCTGAACCACATCAAGTAGAACTGCATCGCGGTACTGCTTTTTCTGAAGGCTAGTTGATATGCATCTGTTATACGATGAAATTGATGGATGGTGAAGTGCTTTGATCTAAATCCAAACTGATGATTTGGAATGACATTTTATTCCGTTATTGTAGTAAGAAGTCTTTTAAAAATAATGTTTTCAAAAATTTTTGAAAAGGTAGGTAGCAAACTGATAGAGTGATTTTTTCCACATTTTGAGATAATTTTGATAAGAACCTATCTACAAAATTTTATTTCTTGTGGCAGCACAGTTTCGACAGGTTTTACGGCGCCGCCGTGTTTATCAAATCCAATACTCCGTTGTGTACACCGTCGTGATCCTGACTGTGCCGCCGCCGATTTATAACGCGACTACCAGATATTTGGGAGAATAAAACAAAAATCATGAAGTGACCGTTAAAATAATTAAACAATTTTGAATTTCTAAATCGTCACAATCAACTGAATGCGCCGTCAAGAATTTGCTAACACTACCACCGGTTGTGCAAGAGAAATCATCGTTGTAAGTACCGTACGTCGCCGCTTCATGTTGATACTCGTTCGGTTGCACATGTTCGAATACACCGATATTGAGTAAAAACTTGGTCTATCGCGTGTTTTTATTTGATTCATGTTTTTTGCCACCATTAGCAACTTATTGCTAATTTGGTTCTATGGTGTCTGGTGGACCATAGTATATATGTTGGACTATGAATGAAAATAACCCTTGTGATTTGTTATATTCATAGTACAGTCACCTGTGTTCGCTTGCACATTTGAGCATATATCTGCATGTATATTTATCTTATTCCCTCCTGTTTTAATATCATCAGAGCTATAAGCCATCGATAATTGATAAATACTGTTTAGTTATCTACATTTATTTATTTTGTTGCTAAAATATTATACCTTGTAGCATTTAGTTATTATAAAACCCCGTCCAACCAACATTGCTATATCTTATATTTGTTTTTTATTTCAATACATAAATTTTGTTTTTTCAATTTACTTTAATTTTTACTATTGTAAGTATCACCTTAAATTTTTATACAGACCCACTTGCTTTCATAAAATATCATGCACATAATCACACCTGACATTTAATATAAAACGGGCGTTCAATTATTCATCAATTTTATAAAAAGTAAATAAAATTTCTTAAAATACACTATTGTTGAGAAATTGTATTACATTTTCTGTCTATTTGGAATTATGAAAAATTATAAGAAGTTAGTAAGTGATGGTGTATTAACCTTTTATTAAATTTAAATTAGTGAAAATTGAATAAATGACATAACAAAGTTTTGAGCATCAAAAGTGATTTTGTTTTTTTATTTGGAGCATATTTAATTATTTCTAAAAATAGTAGAGAAATTTTCGAATCTTATATTGCTTGTAATGTAAAATTTTATTATTGTGCTCTGGAATGTGCCAGTTTTTAAAAGTTTTTGTATAATAACAAAAAAATTAAAACTTTAGTTGAGTCATGTTTCGTTAGGCATATCTACTACGTAAGCTAAATTTTATACAAAAATTTCAGTAGCTTTTTATTTCTTGTGGAAAGGAATCAGAATATTTCTTTAGCCCTCTGTTAGTTTTAAAAGGTGACAAATAAGATTGCGTCAGGTCGACAGCAGGTGTAAAATTGTGTCAATTGGTATGGAAAGTTCTAAATAAAATATAGGGAAATTGTTTCATCTCTAAAGTACGTGGGAAAACTAGTGAGTGGAAATAACGTAACTAGAAGTGGTAGAGGCCTAGTGGAAGCGTGTGATACCAGCCTTAAAACTTGTGCGGTAGCTGTTTCATCAGATAAGTGTACAGTTCTATACCCAACGCTTATGAGGTCAATGTATAGGGACATCACCACTAAACTTTATTAAACTCGTGTGTAATTGCGACAGATAAGTATAAAGTAAAAATGTATACATGAAATGTACAATCGTCGCGGCTTACAGATTCGATAGAAATGATGTAATTCATCGAGATATGATGTTACCGACTGTAGCAGATGAAGTCACTCGGTTTGCACGTAAGCATATAATAAAGTTGGAAAACCATGAAAATATAGCGGCAATTCAACTATTGGACAATTCCAATGACCTAAGACGTTTAAAACGCGTCAAGCCATATGACATAGTTTAAATTTATAAATATTTATTTTATAATTTTAATATTATTTATTATTATTAGACTAAGTTAGGGACCACTTCACTGGAAGTGTAAATCCCATTCATGTTGTATTAGTATATATATATATTAATTAGTAAAATGTATATTTATAATTTTGATAACCATTTAATTGTATTGATTAAGATTTATGATCGTCTCAATAAAAAGTACCGTAGGGTAGTTAAAAAAAAAATGTAGTGTTATGTTGGAACATTAACTGATATGAGTAGAGTTTAGTAAAATTATAAAAAAATGGAAAGTTAATATTTGTTGTTCTAAACTTGAATTATGGCGTAGAAGTAATAACGGATGAAAAGTTGTAAATTAAAGTATTAGATGTAGTCAAGTAAGGTAGTTGAATTATAGTGGTTGAATTAATTTTTAAAGAAAAAGCTATAAATGTAGCAAGTGTATATTCTCCACGAGTACTATGTGAAGTGAGAGGCAATAAAGTTTTTTGCGAAGAAATGGATGAAGCGATGCAAGGATAAGGATATACTATTAGGTATAAATATGAATTAACATATCGGTAATAAAAGAAGTGGGTATGGAGAATACACAGAGGGTATGGTTTAAATGAGAAAAATTAAATTGGATAAAGAGTTCTAGATTTTGCAGTATCGTATGATTTTACTATATTTAATATCTATAGAAGGTTTAAAGGAAGAATTGTGTGGATTATCAAAGGATTTATAAATAATGTGTGAAATAGGATTGCCGCTTGTGTAAAGAATACCACATAGGTGATTATCGTTAAAAACAGAAATAAAATTCCTATTGGTGGTATAAAAAAGTTCATAGAACTATGATATACATATATACATATTTAAGTAATTTTATGAAATAAGTTACACATGAAACAATTAATATGACATTATACTTTTCTATAATTTACATCCAAGTATTTTAAGGATTTTTTAAAAGTAATATGAGTATATATTAGAACAATAATGGTGAAGAGGAAGAAGAAGAAGATTTCAGTTGGTTTTTGAATATACAGGATAATTTTTTTATCATAACCCACTCAATTACTTACAGAATAATAATAATTAAAATTTTTTTTTGATTTTCTTTAGTTACATATTATTCTTGAAATAGTAACTATGTAATACTTTTTAAGTTCATCCCTTATGCCTGGTAAAGGTGTTAACATTGTTTTTGTAAATGGGAACACATATTTTGAATTTAATAAATTGTTTAAGTTTTTAATTTAATAGTAAATGGCATTTGAATTTTTAATATAACTTTATTCGTTTATTAGATATAAACATTTAAAGTTTCAATTTTTTGAGTTAATAAACATGTATAATACACAAGGGATTACAAATACAGTTAGCTAATTGTTTTTTTATGACATAGCTGTCTCGGTCCCGGATTGTTTATTATCAATTATGGTTATGAATAGATATATTTTTTATATTATCAGTTAAAGTATTTATGAACTCACAACAATGTGCCTTACTACCATTGATAATAACAATGCTGTATACTAGTGAATATTGATGCCATAAAAAATGTTAAAATTATATTTATTCTGTAAGTAATTAGGTGGGTTATGATAAAAAAATCCCTCTGTATATCTAAATCAATTTTATTTATAGAAATCTTAAGTTATAATACTGCTACTTCTAAAAAAATATTTTAGATTTGGTATAACAAATTTTAGTATATATTTCTAAGCAAATAAAAAAATATAGAATTTAAATATAATATCGACTAAAATATTACTTCAACACAAACATTTTTATTTTCATAATTAAAATAAAAGTCTTAGAATTTCAATTATATATTTTAGCAGGTATCAGAATATAGCAGTAGCAAAGAAGAAAATGAGGTGTTATTATATCTATTAATTACTAATTTGTTAAATAAATTATAGCCTACTTACAGGATTGTCCAAAAAAAAATCCCCATTATCTTTAAAGTTACCTACAAATTTAATTTATAAAGAATAAGATGGAATTTATAAAAAAAGGAAGAAAAAATTCGAGCTTAAAAATATGTAAATATCCCTAATATGTTAATCGCTATTTTTGAGAAAATTTTCAAAGCGTTAACGAAAATGTTTAAAAGCTTTAGAACATCAGTATGTCCAAATCAATTCAAATTTGGTATTTGTATGTCCCATTGATTT